GCATATCATTCATCAATTTGTGTTCTTTATGTTGTGCACAGGCATATCATTTATGAATTTTTGTTCTTTATGCTGTGCAATGGCATATCATTCATCAATTTGTGTTCTTTATGCTGTGCACAGGCATATTATTGATCAATTTTCGTTCCTTATGCTTTGTACAGTCATATTATTGAGCAATTTCTGTTCTTAATGTTATGTACAGTCACACTATTGATCAATTTCTGTTCTTTATGCTGAGCACAGTCGTATTATTGATCAGTTTCTTTTCGTTATGCTCTGCACAGTCATTATTGATCAATTTCTGCTATCTGTGCTGTGTACAGTCACACTATTGATCAATTTCTGTTCTTTATGCTGAGCACAGTCGTATTATTGATCAGTTTCTTTTCATTATGCTCTGCACATTCATTATTGATCAATTTCTGCTATCTGTGCTGTGTACAGTCATGTTATTGATCAATTTTCGTTCTTTTTGTTCTGAAAAATCATATTATTTGCCAATTTCTGTTCTTTATGCTGTATACAATCATTATTGATCAGTTTCTGCTCTCTATGTTATGTACATTCATATCATTGATCAATTTCTATTTTTTATGCTGTGAACAGTCATTATTGATCAATTCCCTTTTCTCTTTATGATGTGTACAGTCACATTATTGATCAGTTTGTACTTGGCTGAAAAAATACGAATTTCATGAAGAGAAACTTCAATGAATAGAAAGCAATACACCGACTGGATGTCTGTCTGTACGTTTCTAGAAAATGTTACTAGAAATTGCAGATGATCCATAACCTGCTAGAAGAAAATCCCAAAACTTTAAACTTACCAACCTAAGAGCATCGTTTATAAGGAATTAAATTTTTGGATTGGATTTGAATTTACCAAATGATTACATTTTAGAATTTACATATTGAGGGGTAGAAGTTTATCATATTTTAAACTGGTCGAAAATGTTTAAATAACAGAGGTTCTGCATTATACTCACTAGTATCGCAAGAAATAACTCTGTTGATGCTATTGCAAAAAATTGGTAGAAGTTTTTACCCTGAAACTCAATATCAAGAAAGACTTACCGTTAACTTAAATATCGTGCCTTCTAACGCTATTTACACGTTATCAGTCTTCACTCTGGAGCACAGAAGGAGTTGCACCTTCACGGCCAGCACATCTCGTTCTGAAAAACTAGCCTTGAGCATAACTCGTAAGTCCTGTTGAGCCTAACGCCCTCTATACATTACCATGCACACTACCATATGAGCTTTATTTAAGTCTCAGCACTGAAATATTCTTTCCTTAGCATGTGTTTATTTTAATACTATATTACGACGCAAAATGTCTAACATATAGGTTGTAAATAGTTGTCATATTTGTTTGTTTTTCGTGGGGGGGGGGGGTTCTCAAAAACTACGTCGCGATGTTTCTAGAATTGCATATTATCTAGTAGTAGTTAATAACCCGTAAAAAACAATTTCGCAAAACATTTTAAAGATATTGTTTAAAACGACCATTTAGGTTTTCTTGTTAATTTCCAGCAAATCTAAGCAGCCTTCAATCAATCCGGAGAATCCCCTATTCCTTATTAGGAGATCCCAATACAAAAATCTGGAATATCTATGTACACAAACTTATTTTAAATTATCCTTCACATATCTGTGCTACGTTTCGGGTAAATCAGCGCAATAATCCCGAAGACCACTAAAAACCCTTTTGATCCCCCCTATAAGACCTCTGAATTGACATTAATATTTTGAACGTCTTCCTACAAGTTAATATAAATTTCCAAGTGAATCGGCTCAGTGAAGTCTTAAAGTCCCAGTTACCCGCTGACTTTCATTCTATCTGTGAGGCTTCCATCGCGACTCTTGAAAACTTTTTTCTTCTATTATATGCAAATTTTTACGTCGTTTTGTCGAAATTTACGAGTGGAGTTCAAAAATCAAGCTATCATGGATTCGCACATTTTAGGATTATCGTGTAGATGATATATTTCGCTAAAATTGGACCATATCGGTCAGGTTTGAGAAATATGATAAAACGAAATCTTTTATTCACTGAAATTCACGTTTTGGAGAGGAAATGAAATACATAAATAAATAAAGATATATGTTAAATCTTATTTAAAACTTAATACTTTAGTAATTGGGTAAAGTAAACTATTAAATATATTATATTTACATTGAACTTAAATTTGAAGCTTGATGTCTTAATAAGATACAAAAGAATCCAAATGGGATATAAAAGAAGAGCTCAAATGCGTTGTCATTGTCATCAAGAAAAGATAAGTACGTTAACATTAGTGTATATATGGGATATAAAAGAAGAGCTCAAATGCGTTGTCATTGTCATCAAGAAAAGATAAGTACGTTAACATTAGTGTATATATGGGATATAAAAGAAGAGCTCAAATGCGTTGTCATTGTCATCAAGAAAAGATAAGTACGTTAACATTAGTGTATATATAGAAAGAAAGAATTAAAATACATTGCACTGTGAAAATGTTAAAAAATATATAGTGTGACACCATAATGTTTAGTGATAGTTTTGTGTTCACCGCGGGGAATCAAACCCCTGCTTTTAGTGTTGTAAGTCCTTAAGCTTATCGTTGACCAACCGAGGGACTTTACATGTTAGTTTAGAATGTCAAAGTTTTATAATAGAAAGACTTACCTAAGTCTATGTATAAGAGATGCTATTGACAAATAAGAATGTATATATTGAATTTCATCTTGTATATTTTCATTGCTACTACGTACATTTAACATTGTATAATATGATCTTTAAAATATCAATGTTTTGTGAGGGGTCCTAAGTCATTTTCCATGGGAGAATTAAGTTAATGTTGATAGGTTTATGATGTAGTGAATGTATTATATCTTGTTACTTGAGCATTAACAAGGAATGTTGATGTTTAGATTCAGTTTCTGTGGCAGATGTTATTAATGTACGAATACTGTTAAAATGGTTAAAAGTTCATTGGCTTCCGTTTCACTATTATGGTCTATAAATATGTCATCTACATAGCGTAGCCAGAACTGTGATGTTTAGAAAGCAGAATTTCATCGTTGTTAAAGTCCATGTCGTCATCTCTGAAGACCATGCGTCTTGACAAAAACCCTGAAGCGTATTTTCTATTGCAAAAGGTTCTGTCGTCATACTTTCATGTCCAAAACAAATCTTTTCTCTCTATATGGAGGCTGCGTCCGCGACTTTGACCTATGGTTGAAAGGAAGATATGACTTTATCTTGGTAAACCCATACTCTCTTCGCTTCGTTTTCGTACAAATCTGATTGAAAGGGTCCATAGCATTGGTCTGATAATATGGAGAATTCATCTTGATATTTTTATCCACTCTCCTGATGCATAACTAGTCCCTGGCGCAAAATTCAGCGATAATCATGAATCGTTTCGTAAGAGTTTCGCGATGTACCACGTACGGCTTTTGGAAATTTGTTCATCCATTGACCAACAGAAAATTGCACGAGACTTTCTTCAGCTACTAGGACACACATACACTTCGTGAGGTGTCTCAACATACTGCCATCTATAAATGGTTATGTACGATTAATACAGTTCTTCTCTTCCTGCATATGTCGAGTAAGCAACTTATATACACGTGACTTGTGTCCTTTTTTCAGAGGGAGATCCTTTTTGATTAGGTTGTACATTTTGTCATATTACACAGACCTGCGATGGTTTTATTGTCTTAAAATTTTTACATGTTCTACAGTAATTCCTGTACGCTGAATCCAAAAATGATGTCAATTTTTCTCCATCACGTACAGATTTTTTACAAAACGTCGTAACGCAATATATAAAAGAAAGACCACAACACGTAGTTTTCAGACTAAAAGACGTAGAGGTCACACAGAAAATCAGGATGAATGATGATTCATATTCTTTTGACATCAGTGTTCTTCCATTTTCTTTAGTTTGTTTGTATTTTTGTTAACAAACATAATAAAAAAAAACTTTCATTGTGGTAAACTAAATAATAATTTGATCTAAATAAGAGTTTTTTTTTCTTCTTCCCGATTTGTAAAAGATTCTTACGTGATAGAAAAAAAAATGAATATTATTTTTGAAATCTGCGTAGCTGAATTATGGAAAACCCGTTATTAAAACCGAAATAACATTTATGAAATTTAAATTCGCAGGCCTGTGTTATCAAAACGCTTCACTTTGCTTGCCATTGCTAGGGTACAACTTGTTGCAGGTCTTTTTCTAGATGGTTCTGTTTCACCAAGTTAATCCATATTTCATTGTTTTCCAATGCCATTAAATACAAGGGATATCTTCATCCTAGAATTATAAATATCCAATCTAAACACATCTTTATGATCCATGTGTATGAATATATTACGTCAGAAAAAGCTGTTCCCAAAAGTTATCAATATTCGGTTGCTTCACATCACCCGAAAACAACAAGGAATTTCAAAATATAGTTCTGATAGATTATGTTCCACTACGACTTTCTATGGCCTTTAGTTATCACACGACTTCATGATTTGTGTATTCAAAATCATTTCAGTATAACATACTCAACTCTCTATGTGGTTCCCCGGTGGGACAGCGTTAAAATGGACTTACAACGCTAAAGTACGAGGTTCTATTCCCGGTGTTGGACACAGCAGGTAGCTCAATGAGGCTTTGCTCTAAAACAACCAACCCTCTATGGTTGTAGAGGAGAATTTAGTGTTTAAATATTTAGCACTCCATAAAGTTGGGGGGACGAGATGTAACAGATTGAACAAACTAAAAATCATTTTAGCAATAAATAAGATACTGAATTTTTAAAAGATTTAATCGCATAACTAAAGAATTTTTTCCTCGATTTCTAAAACGTGTTAATTTTCGTACCCTCAATCTTTTTTTAATTTTTCAGTGAAAGTTTCATTGGTTGTTTTTCTCTTTTATTATTTGGATTGTGGTCCAAGAATTCAAAACGTTAGAATCATTTAAAATATCCAACATTTCTTATCACAGTCACAT